AGCCCGATGCGGGACTCGATCCAGGGACTCCAGGATCATGACCTGAGCCGAAGGCAGTCGCTTAACCAACTGAGCCACCCAGGCGCCCTCCATTCTAAAATTTAAAGAGCATCTTTTCCACACCAAACGTTATGTCATTTGCATATTAAGCCATTACCATTTTCCAAAACAAAAGAGGACAGAAATCAAACCAAAAAGATGTATAAAACAAACATGTAAAAAAAAAGAAAAAGACAAAAGACCAGAACCTGATGCTGTGTTTGATGAGAAGGATGATGATGGAAGGCGAAAAGGTACTTTCTGGCTATGAGCTCAGGGACTGGGTTAAGAAGGCAGAAAATGGCACTGAAAGACAAAGCCCAGAACTGATTCTGCTCCTAAACAACAGGATGGATTTAGATGAATCACTGATGTTCTCTGTCCTCATCTATTCCATCAGGGTTACATCAGATGACAAGCAAGTTCCCCAGAAGCTCTACTATTTAATGATTCTAGACATCGAGACTTATCTAACATGGCCAAAGCTTCATGGGTGTATAATACCCAGACGCAGCACGATGCAATAGAAATGGCAGCGGGTCTTTGCTGTCAGTCTGACTCTGAATCTGAATCACCACTTACAAGCTGTGAAACGTTAGACAAGTTGCTTACCCTCTCTGGGCCTGTGCTTTCTCAAATACAAAGTAAGATAAATACAATTTAGTGCACAGAGTTGCTTTAAAGCTGAAATGAGGAGTGCCTATCATATCATAGTGCCTGACTCAAAATTAGTGGGTTCCCTACCTCCCTCTTTCCTGAGTTAAAGTAGCAGGAAGACCTGATGAGTTATTCTTTCCTGAAGAAAGGGAAAAAATAATTTATAATTGTGTAACTGTATGAAAATATTACTTAAATGACTTCTTTACTGCAGCTTCCACCAGCCTATGATAAATTTAATGTGTGAAACCTTTTTTCTTTTAGCATTTATTTTTTATACACATTCAGCACCTACTATGTGCTACCCCTTGTTCCAAGCAAAAGGGATACAGTAGAGAACAGCACAGGTCAGGTCCCTGTCCTCCTGAAACTTACACTCTGGTAGATGTCTTCCAGAACAGTTTTAGAAATAATATTCGAGAGAGCACAGGCAGTAATTTCTCTGACATCAGTCATAACAACATTTTTCTAGATACGTATCCTAAGGCAAAGGAAACAAAAGTGAAAATAAACTATTAGGACAACATCAAGATAAAAAGATTCTGCACACAAGGGAATCAATGAAATTAAGACAACTCACTGAATGGCAGAAGATATTTGCAAATGACATATCCAATGAAGGGTTAGTATCCAAAATATATACAGAACTTCTACAACTGAATGCCAAAAACCCAAATAATCCGTAAAAAATGAGAAGACATGAACAGACAGTTCTCCAAAGAAGACATCCAGATGGCCAACAGACACATGAAAAGATGGGCAACATCACTCACCATCCGGAAATGCAAATCAAAACCACAATGAGATTATCACCTCACACCTGTCAGAATGGCTAAAATCAGAAACACAAGAAACAACAAGTGTTGGTGATGATGTGGAGAAAAAGGAACATTCGTGCACTGTTGGTGGGAATGCAAACTGGTGTGGCCACTCTGGAAAACAGTATGGAGGTTCCTCAAAAAGTTAAAACTAGAACTACCCTAAGATTCAGTAATTGCACTACTGGGTATTTGCCCAAAAAATACAAAAACACTAATTCAAAAGGATATATATACCCCTATGTTTACTGCAACCTGATTTATAATAGCCAAATTATGGAAGCGGCACAAGTGTCCATCCAATTGATGAGTGGATGAAGAAGATATGGTACAGATACACAACAGAATATTATTCAGCCATTAAAAAGAATGAAATCTTGCCATTTGCAATGATGTACATGGATCTAGAGTACAATGCTAAGCAAAATAAGTCAGAGAAAGACAAATACCATATGATTTCACTCATATGTGCAATTTAAGAAACAAAACAAAGGGAAAAAGAAGAGGCAAACCAAGAAACAAACTCTTGACTATAGAAAACAAACTGGTTACCAGAGGGGAGGTGAGGGGGGGATGGGGGAAATAGGTAAAGGGGAATAAGAGTACACTTGTCGTGATGAGTCCTGAGGAATATACAGAATTCCTAAATCCCTGTATTATACTCTGAAAACTAATATAACACTGTATGTCACTGGAATTAAAACTTCTAAAAAAGAAATCATGCTCTAGAAAGTGTCTTCCACTTGGAAGTCACCTTTGCACACGGTGTTGGGCTTTACCTAGTGCTGTGAAATACAGAACTCACTCCGGCTAATCCCATTTTCAATTAATTATATACCATAATTTCTGATACAGAAACAAATGACAGAATGTTTACCCACTTGAAATATTTTTACCACCATTTTTCAAGGTGAAAGCCTGACCAAACTTATAACCTTCATTACATATTACCAGATGAGAAAATGTAAAAAGCCAACTATCTGCTGGACCAGGTCAAAAGAAATCCTCACTTAATGTCTTCACCAAATACCCTGAAGTCTCCTTCTGAATTATGTCCCCACTTTGTCCTATTTATTCCAAACTTTTCAACACTTTCCGTATCCATCTAGCCCTACCACTACCCACCGCCTAATCCCGCTCTTATTTTTTCCTCCTCCTTCATTAGACTGCAGTTTCTCTCACCCACTGGAGAGAAGCAGAACAGACTGTGTACACGTGTATGCACGCATGCATGCGTGTATGTGTGTGTGGTCTCTCTGAGTTTCATACTAGCACAGCAATTCTTGATTCTGGCTGAGACTGAAATCTTTTAAGGAACATCTTAATTTTCAAAGCTACGGAGGCTGAGACAGTTGGTCTGGATTATGCCTGGGTACTGGGATTTTTAGAAGTTCTCACAGGAAATTCTAATTTGCAGCCCAGGTTGAGAACCACTGTGGTAGAGCATGGGGACTTCTTCAATTCCTTTTCTTTTCCATGCTCTATTTATGCTGAATATTTTGGTTCTCTGACTGGCTGAAAAATAAATTAATTTGAAAACTGTGTATCTCTGAGTTCTTCCAGTTTTGGAAATGTCTCACTGGATGGATATGGCCGCTAATTTTCATTAGATCTGTATGGTTGTCTTCAGACAAGTAATACTTATAAAGTTGGCCCATACATTCATATACTGACCCCACTTCATGCCTTCCAGATACACACTGCAACCAGCAGATTTCCGTGATCTGAAAAGGGCAGCCTGAATCCTCGATGTGCCATCTGCAGGTCTAGCCTGCATCTGGCCACCCTACCGTTGGGGGCAACCATGTCCATGGACAACTCCATCAGAGACTGAAGAGCTTCGTCCATGAAATGAGTCCTTTCTGACTATCAGCAGCAAGCCAGCCTATCCTTCTGACTTCTGGAGGTATTTTTTTCCCTATTTTCATTTACTGTAGGCTTCACGTTCATTTTTTTTTTTCTGAGTTTCTCCTTATATTTAATCTGGACAGTATGGATTTTCCAGTCCCGTATTTATTTGCAAGAGCTGCCATGCCCCATACAACAGAGCAGATCGCTTCAACAGCAGGAATTTACTTTCTCAGAGTTCTAGAGGCCAGAAATCTAAGATCAACTGTCAGCAGGGTTCATTTATTCTTAGGTGGGTCCTGTTGGCTTGTCGATGACCATCTTCTCGCTATGTGTTCATATGGTCTTCCCCCTGCATGTATCTGGGTCCTAATCTCCTTTCTTTATATGCCAGATTGGCCTGGGACCCACTCATACTACTTCATTTCACTTTAATGACCTCTTTAAAAGCCTTATCTCCAAACACAGTCACATTCTGAGGTACTAAGGGTTAGAACATCAACATTTGAACTGGGGGGGTGGTGGTGGTTTAACACCATTCAGCCCATAACACCCATGAAATAAGAGTGTAAGACCTCCTTGTCTTCCCTCAGCTGGGATCCTATCTCTATGAAACCACAGCCATGCTATTTGTTTTTGGTTCCCTTTCTCTGGCAGGAGAGCAGAGTGTAACTTTCTGGGAATGAACAGAAAGACAGCTCTACATAATTTGAAAATTCCATGATGAATGTAGTTGGTAAAAAAGCTAACAACAACTATATATATATATATATATATATAGGCTGAAAGAAGTGGAAGAAATATAGGACCTATCAATTTATGCAGTGGAGAAAGGAAAAATGTAAAATAATGTAGCTGACTTCATGAAAACTATGTTTGTTGGATAGTCTAGGAGAGACCTGATTTTAGATTTTCTGCCTCATGATCTTCATAAATTTGTTCCTACTTGTCAGGATGCAGTCCCAGTTTAGGGCTTGGAATATACAGTCACCCTACAACAACTGTCTTAATTGGCCTGTTCTGCTAAGTTGTTTATTTGTGCGAGGAGACTGTTCCAATCCCCGCCCCCACGCCCCATCTGTGCAGAGGACTCTAATTTGAACTCATCAATTGCCTGCTTAAAAGCACTGGTGTGATGCTCAACATACAGGGCTTGTTCAATCCCTCTCTTAAGGTAATTCACCTAAGATTTCCTTCCAGAAAATTCGAGTTTCCACATGTGAAGATCCTGCGTGAGTCCATCAACATTTGCACCTGAAAACTGTGGTATAATGACAGGAACCTACCTTGAGGTTTGGGCTTAGTCAGCTTGCCACAGGGCTTGGAGATGGTGACTGTCTTCTGGCAGTCGGCGTTGTGGAGGGCTCGCTTCAGACTTCCAGTTCTGGTCTTCAAGGCGGTATTCAGGTCGCATTCTCCCCAAGCCTGGAACTGGTATTTGCACTCCGCTAAAGGCAGGGTAGGACCAAACAGAAATCTTTGAATTCCTCTAGTAGTGCCATAAAGGTAGACACACTTCTGTTTTTACCTTTTTGTAGTGAGATCTTTGTAGAGTCCCATGCAGTTGGAAGAAATAATATGGAGAGATCCCTATATCCTTCACCCTATTTCCCCTCAATTGTGATTATCTTGCATAACCAGAGTTCCTGAGCACAACCAGGAAATGAACAGGGATACATCCCACAGAAGTGATTCAGGTTCTGCCAATTTCCAACGCACTCGTTTGTGTGTATGCGTGCTCGTGCACATTCAGTTCTGTGCGGCGGCGTCACGTCTGTAGATAAGAGTGAACACCGACACCATTAATGTGCAAAAGAGCTCCAACACAACAGTCCTTTGGGTTAATCCTGTCATAGCCTTAGCCGAGGCACCTTCCTCCCTTCCCATCTGCTTGAGCCCTGGCCATCACTCATCTCTTTTCCATCTCTATAATTTTTGTCATTTTAAGAATATTATATAGGGGCGCCTGGGTGGCTCAGTCATTAAGCATCTGCCTTCGGCTCAGGTCATGATCCCAGGGTTCTGGGATCGAGCCCCATATTGGGCTCTCTGCTTGTGGGAAGCCTGTTTCTCCCTCTCCCACTCCCCCTGCTTGTGTTCCCTCTCTTGCTGTGTCTCTTCTCTGTCAAATAAATAAAATCTTAAAAAAAAAAAAAAAAGAAACTGAATACCTGTATGTATTTGTATTAGCTGTACAACCTCACACTAAGCGTCTAACTTCTCGGACTCAATGTCCTCATATGTAAAATTAGGAATGATGATGGTAACTATTTCACAGAGTTTTTGTGATTATTAAATGACACAGTGTTTCCTCAATATACTAAAATATCCTCCAAACATACAAGTCTCTCAATAAATATTAACTGTAATTACTACTGTTGTAATGGCCATAAGTTCTTTTGCCTAAAAAGGTACGGAGGGCAATACCCACCTCAAGATTTTCATTTGGAAGGAAGGAAATAGTTTTAAGAATACCGCACATTTATCAAGCATCGTTACATATTCACTCCATCTTGACAATAATGAGGTATTCATTGTAGATTTTAGTTTACAGAAGACAAAACTGTTATGCTAATAAGAAAGGGGCAGAACTAGATCTTCTCACTTCAACTACAGTATCATGAATGGGAAATACCTTACAGATGTTGAAAGACATTTCCACAGCGGAATGAAAACGAAATCAAACCTTAAGACCAAAGTGAGCAAGGGTTTCCCTCTGATCAAGGACCAAATTCCCGCAAGGTTCCCCAGGCTTCTCTTTCTGGTCAGATGCAAGGGCAGCAACCACCAACCCTGTCGGGGTCTCAGGAAGAAGGGAGCCAGTCCCAGGCTCCCTTCCACCTCCCTCAACACAGTGGAGAGTCTCTCAGCCTAGCAAAATGCATCCGCAGAGTAGTGGCACACTCATTGCTAAGGGATGGCAGAGCCCAGAGTCTAGAAAGAAATGTTGGGAACTTCTTTTATCTTTAAAAGAAGCAACAACAACAACAAAAATCTCTTGAGCAGGGGAGAATTGAGAATGCTGGGAGTAATCACTTTACTGACCCCCCTTCTCATTTATAATCAGCTGCCAAGTGCTATGTCCTGCACACAGCTGAGTCCTACATTGAAACAGTTGCTGTTCTTTTGATCTTTAAGGATGAATTGTCAAACCTAAGAGAGGGCTAGGCAACTGTCCAAAAAAAAAAAAAAAAGAGCAGCAAGATGGTAAAGCTTTGAGAAATAGCTGGGAAGAAGTAAAAGGAATTGGGGTTCTCAGGAGCAGGGGAAATGTAACAAGGCTCTGGTGACAGTTAATAGTGAGACCGTTAACACGGTTCCCTGGCCCACCTGTAGCACAGACACGCATTCCGTTGCTCCCACCTCGCCCTGTCCCAGGCAAACCTGGAGGCCGACACAAATGCCATGCTCACCTGTCAGTATCCCCCCAAAAAAAAAAAAAAAGCACCACCCCTCACAATACCCCTTATTTATGTATCTTGTTTAAATAATAATGACTAATAATTTCTATTTGGACAATAACAAGATTCTAGAATGTTCTAAGATAATCATTAGGCCACATCTTCTGTAGTCCCTAGGAAAATCTCATCTCGTACAAAGCCTTCTGCACGAGCCCTGATTCAGCCTCAGCTTAGACTCTGCACTCCAGTGGTAACTCCCAGAAGCCTGCTCCACTGTTCTGCACCTGCTCACTCAGACGGGACTGCCTGGAAGGCCACGGCTCTCCCACAGGTGGGCCATGTTGCCAGTTCCTCTTAGCTTGACCGTCTTCTCATTCTGTAATGAGCCCATCCTCCAAGGGGACCACTGAGAGACACTGCGGCTTAGAGACCCGTTCTTTGCCCTCTGAAGGGTTCTGTGCTCTGATCGTTTATGCAGCACTTTTGGCATAGACTGGCCATGGTTCCCACTTTCTTCACTTGTCCACAGCTCAATTATCCCCACTTTTTTTCCCCCCCAAACTGAAAAGACCATAATGACTCAACAACAACAACAACAAAACAACAAAAAACTACCTGTGGTTCCAACAAGGAGAGACCTAACTCGCTCTACAGTGGAGGAATTGTCCCGATATGAGATTACTCTTGGCAACGTCTTTTCCAAGAAATATCATCAATGCCTCATCTAGGCAAAAGGAGTAAGGGTTAGGTCTGATGAGGACTTCAATACATTCCAACATTCCTGCACACTTCCTGGCCGATTGCTCACTAAATACCAATTCAAGACCCACTCGCCTGCTCCTCTCATATTTATAGGGAGAGTTTTGAAAGTTAAAGATACATTTCCCAGAGTCCCTTGCAGCAGGATTTTATAGGTGCCCTAGTTTCCAGCAAGCAGGCACACTTTGAGTCTTAGAGGTAAAAGTCAGCAACCAGGACAAAAAGCGCCAAATTTGGGAAAATTGGGTATTTTGGCAAGAAGGGAGGCAAAAGTGTCTAGTTTCAAGGGAATGGGTATGGTGTTCAATTCTTAGCATATGTGCTGAACTGTGGGTAATTTTAGCAGCAGGACTTCTGCTCCATCAGTCACGTTTGGCATGATTAGACATTTCTCTTGGATCTATTGCCTTCTGCTGCAATCCTGCTGGACCCAACTCAAATCCTCTGGCCCTTCTGGAGATTCTGTGAGCTATATAATACCCCTGAATAACCCCTTTCTGCTTAGCTAGCTAGAGTAGACCTTGCTGCAACTAAAAACCTGGACAGATACAGGATTTGCTTAATTAACAATTGTAATTCATACTCTCAATCTCTTTTCCTGAAAAAATAAAAATCTCCAGTGTCCAATGCAACTGCTCGCCAATTTATCCCTGGTAGATTCTGGCAGCAATGAAGCAAATTCCAGTTACAATCTTTCAATCGCTGACCTCTCCGGAGCGATCCCCCATCCCCAGGAAAGCTATATTCTAGTTATGCACCTTTCAATTCTTATGTTTACATAAGAATATCAATATTCTCTCTTCTCTGGGTATATAATACTAAAACCTCTTCTCAGATTAAGTGGAGTTTCAACACAGGAGAATCTTCAGGTAAGAGTTTCCAACTTGATATCTAGTGTCACTGAAATTGTACCAAGGTTAGAGTGTGGAGTTTCTGCAATATTGACATAACAACAGGAAGAACCATTTCTATCCAATGGACTGGAGTGTGGTGAGTTTTAAGGCGATTTTTAACTAAAGCAGGGGGGGATAGTTAGTAATCTCCCAGAGTTCAGGTGCCAACTCTGGATATTAAGTGCCCTCTCACCCCCAAGCAAGTCTTTTAAACTTTTGGCCTTATTAGGAATCAAGTCACAATGATATTCTCCTGACTTTTCTCAATTTAATGCTGGGTAGTCACAGCCTAATCAGGCATCTTAATGTTCCATTCTAAAATTTATTTATTTATTTATTTATTATTTTTTTTTAAAGATTTTATTTACTTATTTGAGAGAGAATGAGAGAGAGCACATGAGAGGGGGGAGGGTCAGAGGGAGAAGCAGACTCCCTGCCG